GCGCCCCCTCCCCTGGGGCGCAGCCCCTCAGGACCCGCCTCCTCCCGCAGCTGCCACCCTCGCCAACCCTGATCTCTCTGGGTCCTCTCTAAGTCTGTGTGTCCCTCTTTGTCTCTCGCCTGTGTTTTCGTCGCTCCTCTTTTCTTCGGGTGTCTCACACTCGCAGGAAGACAGTCCCTCTAGGGACCACTTTTGTTCCACGGTCCCCTCCCCTGGGGCGCAGCCCCTCAGGACCCGCCTCCTCCCGCAGCTGCCACCCTCGCCAACCCTGATCTCTCTGGGTCCTCTCTAAGTCTGTGTGTCCCTCTTTGTCTCTCGCCTGTGTTTTCGTCGCTCCTCTTTTCTTCGGGTGTCTCACACTCGCAGGAAGACAGTCCCTCTAGGGACCACTTTTGTTCCACGGTCACACAAGCCCCTCCTGTGGGTCCACACGGCCTCTCACTCCATTACAGATACTCTCCCCTGTCAGTGCGGTCACACTCGCCACCTAGGGTTAGCCATCACGATGGCCCGGTCAGCAGCACACACTCATGCTCCAGGGCCCCCACACAGGCACGTGGGAGTGCCACACTTGCACGCACAACCTGTGTCGACCCAACCTCACGAGTTCTTTCCAAATGCCACACACAGTCCACCATCTCTCACCGAATACTACGTCCATTTCTCACATTGACACCTCTCCCGCAGTCTGACACACACTTCGTGTCGCACCCTGTCCGGTGCACGTGGACAGACGCATGCCTTCTTGTACAGTGCCTCAGTCATACACACGATGGCCCAGCGTCTCAATCCCTCACTGTCTGAGCTTCACACACACCGCTGAGCTGCAGTCGCTGTCACCCGTGGCTGTCACCCTCGTTTGCCTTCTCGCGCGTCCTCAGCCATCTCCAGTACTGCACACACTCTGTTCAGTGGCCTACAACCGGCCGTCACACCCTGCGCCAGTCTCCCAGCATCGCGCCGACCTCAGTGTCACGCGTGGTTTCCACACCGTCTCGCCGTTTCCATCTGCCACACCCAGGACCCCTCCGTGCTGGTGCTGCCTGCTCACGCTGGCACTTGGTGGACCCCAGCCCAGCTCACCCTGCCCCGTGGCACACAGGGTGTCACACTCGGTCTCTCCCTCCAAATAGTCTCTCACTCTCAGTGGCACAGAGTCCCCAAAGGCATCGCTCCCAGACCCAATGGCACGTGATCCCCACCACCACACAGGGTCCCTGCAGTGTCCCCGCGTCACAGGCACTCCTGACCTCCAGTGTCACACGTGGTCACCGACCGTGCACTCGCACACGCAGTCCCTCTCGGTCCCGTCTGGTCACTCAGCCCTCTGGGCCACACGTCCACACGGCCGCCCCGCCTAGCACAGCACCTCCAGGTGTCCCTCGCGACCCCGCGGGCCCGTCGCCCTGTTTCAGTCCCACGGCTGGCAGCCCTCGGGCTTCTCCCGA